AGGTGGGGGGTGAGACAGCACATCACAACAGGAGCATGAGGGAAAGAAAATCACTTATCTCATGAACAAGATGTTATTAATGGAGAGGAAGAGGTTAGAGCCAAGCCTCAGTATGCCATTCCATGTAACCTGAAGACCTCCCACCAGGCCTTACCCCTTCAAGTTCCCACCACCTCCCAATACCAAGATGAGCACCAAGCCTTTAACACGTGAGCCTTTTAAGATATTTAAGATCCAAACTACAGCAGGGAGTCTGAAGTAAGGCTAAGAGTCTGCGTTTCTCTCCAGCCTCCCAGTGATGCCTCAGCTGCTGGTTCAAGGACCACACACTCAGATTCACAGCTATCTGAGCACCCCAAGGCAGTGCTAGATGGAGGTCCTGAGCCCTGGAAATATCACAGGGCCCTACCAATGCATATAACTACAACATTGGTGACATGGAAATTCAGTAAACTCAACAAAATTCTTACTTTTCCCAAGATGATTACTCTGATTCTTTTTTTTTTAATTTGTTTTAAAAACAAATTACAGTTTTCTGATGTCTTAAGAATGTGAAGAAGCCCTCACTCACAGCCACATCAATGTTTGTAGCAGCTCAATTCACAACAGCTAGGCCACGGAACCAACCTAGGTGCCCTTCAACAAATGAATGGATAAAGAAAATGTGGTTTATACATACAATGGAATATTACTCAGCTATAAAAATGAACGACTTTATGACTTTTGCAGGGAAGTCTCCGGATGGATCTGGAGAGTATCATGCTAAGTGAAATAAGCCAATCTCAGAAAACCAAAGGCCCAACATTCTGCAGATGATAACACACAATAAGGTGGGGCGAGGGGATAGAAGTACTTTGGATTAGACAAAGGGGAATGGAGGGAAGGGAAGGAGGATGGGAACACGAAAGAGAGAATGAATCAAATATTACTTTCCTATGTTCATATACGAATACACAACCAGAGTAACTCCACAGCACGTACCATCACAAGAATCGGAAGTTACACTCCACGTATGTATAATGTGTCAAAATATATTCTACTGTCATGTGTAACTAAAAAGAACAAATGAAAAAAAAGTTTTAAAAAAGAAGCCCTCACTGTGCCAGGGCACAGTCCAAATGGGCCTCTGCTGCCTTGCTCCCTGGAGAAGGCCCCTGTTCCATCCTCCACTGTCCATGGAAGGCCCCCTCTCTCTTTCCACTTTCCCCAAAAGGACATGGAGCTCTAGTATGACCTCCTTGCTGAGGACGGGGTGGGATCAAGAGGTCGGAAGCCCTCGCCACATCTTCAGTCAAGGAGTCTGAAGTGGAAAGACACGGTCATTACAGAGGGAGGTCCGCGGGCAGACAGACAGACAGGAGGGGAGCTCCACGCAGGCAAGACCCCAGAGGCTGGGGTGGCCAGGCCAGGCCTCCCGGAGGGGAGCAAGCTGGATGGCAGTTTGGTCAGCATCTTCATGCCAACGGAGGTTGGTGGGAGCCGGGAGATGCTGCTGAGCCCATGTGAGGCCGAGTGTTCAGACAGAGAAACAAGAGGCCTTGGAAAAAGCCAAGATTATGGGCTGGGGCTGGGGCTCAGTGGTAGAGCATTTGCTTAGCATGTGTGAGGCACTGGGTTCGATTCTCAGCACTGCATATGAACCCAATGACAACTAAACTATATATATATACATAGTCAAGATTGTGTTGCAAAGAGCATTGAAGCCTGTAGTAAAGGCTTTGAACTTGGCCTTGTAATGAGAAGCCAGAAAGCATTCGGGGCCAGAGGTTCTGCAAGAAAAATGGTACTTTGAAAATATGTGTGTATATAGACGGAAGCCTAGCAAGCTACACCACAGTGTTGTTATTCTTTTAAATGATTTTTTTGGAGAGACAGTGCATGCCTACATGCTTTTCTGCCTATGCAGAAAAATATTTCTAAGAGCTCAGAAACCAAGCTTCTCCCCGACTCCTGGCTTCTATCCCTCCTCCTCCTCCCCCAATTCCTTCTTTTAATCTTACTTTTGTTTTTAACTTAGCAATGCATCTAAGAAACTTGCCCACCCTGTAACAATCCATCTCCTATTTCTGAATGGCCACATTGTTATTTTATTGCATGGATATTTTGAAATTTAACCCATTGATGGAGACATACATGGTTGCATCTTTGATGCAATCAAGGTTGTCATAAATGCCCTTGCACCTCTGTCTACAGACACAAGTGTGGACCCATCCATCAGATAAATTCCTACATGTGAAACGGCTGCTGTGAAGAATAGATTCACCTCAATAATTTTACCTCTTAGAAATTGTTCCATTAAAGAAACACCAAGATACAGGCACAAAGATATTGTACTTCTTTATAAGGACAGAAAACAAGAAGGGACTTAAGTTCCCACTGATTCATGGGGAGTGGGCTGAAGCGTGTGAATTCCCAGGAGATGACACGAGTAGCGGCCAGCGCACATCGACACGCTGCAATCTGAAAAGGGAGCAGGATATGCCATTAAGCAGATAGGGCAGATTACAAAACAGCTTCCACGCACAACTCCATTTTCATAAATGTATTTATATGCTTGTGACTTTATTCCTTCTCTATATTCCTTGAGTTTCTATGTGAGTAGGTATTATCTTTATAGACAGAGGAACAATTAAACTGCTTCCAAAGCATCGGATTGCTCCATGGGCACAGATTTGAATTTGTGGCGCACCCATATGACACCAGGTAAGGGTCCAGGTGTTTACACTGGGGTATCGGAGCTGCCTCTGTCTCTGGCTCCTGTCTGCCATCTCTAGCCTGATCATTTAGAATCAGAGAATGTTGGAGCCCTTAAAAAGTAGCCCAGGCCTTATCTCATTGATGAAGGAACCAAGGCTCGGAGAAAGTAAAGTGACCTACCAAGGGTCACACAGCCAATTTGGCCAGGAGATTAAAGAGCCTAGGGCTCTACTGCCCAGCAACTCTTCTCTCCCCTAAATCTGAATATGAATTGTCATTTAGGGTTGAGAAGGGCACCGATTTGGAATGCCCTGTCTTCTGGGAGACCCTGTCCAGGCAAACCCAAGATGAAACATAAAAGGGCCCTACACAAGACTGTCATTAGTGGGGAGGAGCCGGATCCTGCATAGGCAGAAAAGCAGCTTTGTTGGGCCCAGGGGTCTGGCCAGCCACTGAGGCAGCCGGCTGCAGGGCATGAGGGAAGGAGCTTCCCTGGGCGGGTGCCAGATGACAGTAATTATAAGGCAATGTGGGCCTGCAAAGAGCCCATTAAATATGTCTGCTTTGCATCAAGCAGAACTCAACCTCTTCGCCACTTTCTATAAGAAATCCAACCACATCAAACACTTTGGGGTTTTTATACACTTTCCTGAATGTTTGGGTGATAGCAGGGAACGGTCACGTCGTCACTCAGCCCTGGCACAGAGCTGTCTGCTCGCCCCTTCCTGGTTCCTCGCTCCTTTCTCACAGATTCCACCCCTCCTGGTTCCCTCTCCTCCTGGCTCAGCTCACACCCTGCCTCTGACCGCCCCAAGCCATCCATCAAAGCCTTTCCCCAGCAAAGAGGGACTTCCCAACCAGCTTCCATGAAAATAAAAGTCCCTCCATTTAATTACTCTGGAGTCTTTTAGAGGCCGTAAAGGCCACAGTGTCTGAGACCAGGATCTTAGGCTTTGAGCTAGAATGCCCCTGAACCACATTCCTCAGGTTGACAGCAGTTTGGGCACCCATGGCTTCCAGATCTCCACGGTCCAGGCTGGAGCCAGGTCCTAGAGTCAGGGCAGACTGTGAATCAAGAGCTTCTTATTTATGTCCTCCGAGAGTCCAGGTCACCCTGGCAGGTGGGCTGTGATAAGGAGGCCCTGAACAATGTCCAAAGGGCAGAAGAATTTGTGGCGCACCCATAGGACACCAGATATGGGTCCAGGTGTTTACATTGGGGGATCGGGTGAGGGTCTTCTCCCAGTCTCCAGGGTGGAGGTGCCGTGGGCAGAGGCAAATCATCATCTTCCCACCTGGAAGCCCAGAGGTCCCAGGTGGGATTGTTTGCACCTCTCACAGGGGTGTGGGCGCACTCTAAGGACTGGTCCAACCCCCAAATCATGAGTGATGGCGAGAGTGGGTGCTGTCCTCCAGAGGAGGGACAGGTGAGTCAGGCTCCCTGAGCATCTAGGCTCTGTCCACGAGTTGTCTTAATCACCCTCTTGTTGTTCCAGGAAGGGGAGATGCTACCTTCACTTTATGAAGGATGTGGGCCACACACCCAGGCGGCCCAAGTCCAAAGTCACTCCTCCAGAGCTCAGGGCTTCTTGGTGGAGGCCGAGCCTGTCCATGGGTGTGTGCAGGTGTGTGGGGAGGGTGTGGGTGCTGGGGGTATGTCCCTGCAAGAGGGCCTGGGCCTGGGCCTCTGTGGATGCCTACAGAAGAAAGAGAGCTGTGGTCCCAGGAATCTTCTCTCGTAGCCCTGGACTGGGTGCCCTGTCTCCTGGGCTCTGATCCCTGCTCTGCAGCAGATAACCATGTCCCTTGAGAGGCCTCTCTCAGTGAGACCCTGTCTCTAAATAAAATACAAAATAGGGATGGGGATGTGGCTCAGTGGTTGAGTGCCCCTGAGTTCAATCACCAAAAAAAATTTAAAAATAAATAAATAAATAATGGCTGGCCACAAGCTCTAATCTCTCCCTGCACCCTCTCTTTCCCAGTTCTACTTCTTGTCACCCTTGTGATCCTTCTGGGACTCTCTCCTCACTCGGTCCAGCTCTCGCTCCTTGTTTGGCTGGATCCACTCCCACACTGGACACCTTGTGGGTGCAAACCAAGGCAATTACTGGGTGATTATGTGTCTTGGAGGTGTCGTGGCTGGGCTGAGGAGGGCCACGCCTCCTCTTTTGAATTCTGACTTTCCTGCTTAGGAGTGTCCTCAGATTTTCCTTGTTAATGCGGGTCTGGCTGGCTACTCTGACGCACCATCCTGACGGTCCACACACCACCAAGAGGAGGCAAGGAGTCTGTCTGGCTGTCGCATGGCAGGTGAGTGGGCAGGGCCTGGGGACCTCAGGGCATGAGGGCCTGAGAGGGGAGTTTTCAGGAGTGTCTGTGAGATAAAAACTTTGATGGTTGCTTGTTAAGAGGTTAGAGCTGGACAGTCCATCAGCTCTTCCCTCATGTTCATCAGAAAATAGAGGCATGGGGATGGAAAGAAGCAGCCCCAGACCAGCCAGCAAGTCCATGCAGAGGCTGGGTCGGGGGCAGGCCTCCTGCACACGCTTTGATGAACTGGAGGAGGCAGGAGCAGAGAGGCGAGGGCAGATCTCAAATCCTCTCTCCCCCCCTGCACTTTCTGTGGATCCAGAGACAATTCCGGGCCCAGCTGGGGATCATGGGCTGTGTGGGAGGGAGAGAGAGGGCCCATAAGCAGCATCTTCTCTGAATTCCTGCCTCAGTGGCTGGAGGGCAAGGGCAATTCCATCGGAGGAGAAAAGAGCTGTGTGACCTTGAGCAAAGGAATCTGTCCTTGTTGCCTTTCTTTTCTCATCTGTAAAATGGGGATCAGAATGCAAATTATCTCACAGACCTGCTACGTGCTGTCCTCCGTCACACAAGATCTCATAGTGAGAACTTGTTGACAATAGCCTCAGAAAACGTGTCCCCACAGACCTAATTGGCACACTTTCATGGGCTCAGAAACTCATAGATCCAGTAAAGAGCCAGTAAGCAGAAAAAGCCCCAAACTCACAGGTCTTTAAGGGACATTCCTAATTCTATGGCTGCTATTTTATTTGCTCAGCATCATGTGACACCATGTGAATCAATGCTTGTTTATTAGAAAATAAACTTTCAAAGTCAGGTATTTTCATCTCTTTATCATATTTTAACTTCTTCTTCATATTCCCTCCTAGCAGTTGATAATATTATGGGGCCTCTGGGTCCATCTGGTTCCTGGGGTGGGTCTGCTCCTCTGAGGACAACCCAGACCACCTGTTTCCAAACCTGGGGTTGCTTCTCCTGTCAGACTGGTGCAGAGGACACTGGCTTTGCCTCTACCAGGACCTGATTTTCAGGGCTTCCCTACGTGGCCCCTCTTCCCTAAGCATTTGATAAAGCATCTGTCTTAAGCTTGGCAGCAGCAAGTTATGCTGAGGAAGGAACAAAGTTGGTGGCAGGGATCCCAGTGTCAGGTCAGCCACCCATTTGGTGGGTACTCTCTCCTCTCTCTCAACCTCGATTTCTCCATCTGTAAAATGTTGGGATCAGATCCATCATGTCTCGCATGTGAACTCTTCATTGAATTGAATTCAGTTCCTCAGGGGTTCTGGGTCCCTCTAGCTTCCTGGGAGGATTTGCTCCTCAAAGCAACAGACATGAATTCATAACTGTGATGCCAGATCCTGATGAAAAGAAACCCATCACCAGGATCCTCACCCCACTGACTCTGTCCATGGCAGACATCACTAGTTGATCCCAGAGCTCCTCCCTACAGAATCGGGATGTAATCCCAGAATTCTCCTCAATGCAATTCTTCCATAGCCCCTGCCAGTTGAGCCATGTTAGCAAACAAATAGTGCCATTTTGACATTATTAAATTACAATCATCTTTCAGCTCAGCAATCTTAAGAATTAAGTAGAACTGTGTGGGGTTGGCTCTAGGTAGGACATTGGTTGGAGTTGATGGGTTTCTATATACTGGTTAAGAGGAAGGACCAGGAAGGAAAGGAGACTGGGCAGTGGCCCCAAAAAGGCCCCCAGGCAACTTCCTAATTAATCATTTAGCTGTGGAGCTCAGGTACCCGGGCTGCATACTAAGGACAGAGTCATAATGGAGCCCATTAAAAACCAATTATGCTGAGTCCAGAGTCGGGGAGATGTTGCTGGCTTCAGCAGAGCTTCTTGGGCCCAGCCTCACTGGGTGCCATGCCCAGGCTGGCACAGAGAATTGGGGATGGCAGTATCATTTGGACTTTTGGTGTCACCCAAGGCCATGAGGGAGAGCAGCAGGGACAAGCGTGGGAGAGTGTCAGGCAGGAGGTGACCTTCTACACACCCTTCCCTGGAAGCCAAGCCTGGACTTAGGCTGATCTCTGTGGCCACCTGGTGGGCCAGTGAGCCGGAGGACAGGGATGGGGTTGGCAGGGACAGGAATCATGGCCAGGACCAAACTGGGAGGCCCCCTATGACATGGCAGCAGAGTGTGTGTGGACTTGACAGTTACGGAGCAGGGGAAGTGACACGCTGACACTCATGCAATCTGAGGGTCCCCCCCTCCATGAGGCGCAGTTCCCCTACAGCACTGAAGAAGATGAGCTGGAAAACGTTCCGAGGCTGTGGGGCCAGGTGATGGCTTAGGCAGGAGGCAGAGACGAGAGAAGGAAAAGAAAAACAATGTGTGTAGGAATTGGGGATGGGAGGACAGGGTGATGGGGAAGATTTAGGGGACAGAGGTGACAATCTAAAACCTCCCATTTGTGGAACTCAAAACCGTGGACCCAGCGCATGCTAAGTGCTGGAAGGAGAACACCATCCTGACTGGAGCTCGCTGTCTAGTGTTAATGGTTTCTCCTTCGCCCTTGGAATTTCCTGGCTCAGGCGCTGCATTTCCTCATTACCCTACTTATAATGATTACTCCATTTAATCCTCCTTAAAATTGTATGAGGAAGATCTTATGATTGTCATTTTTAGGGAAGGAAATCTGAACCTCAGAGAGGCCCAGCAAATTACCCAGGGCCACTCGGGCAGTAAGTAGAAGATACAGGATGGCATGCATTGGCAAAAAATTGACATGGCAGCCAGGAGCCCTTGAGACTTGAGTTTCAGAGAGGTTCATCCACCTGCCTCAGGTCACACAGCCGACAAGTGGGAAAGCCTGTACTAGAACTCAGTGTGTGCCTCTAAACTCGGGCTCCCACTGGCTGTGCAGGGTGGAAAGGAAGGCCAAGAGAAGATGGTAAAAGAAAGAAGGGAAAGAGGGCAGTAAAGCTGGGGGGTGGGGTGCAAACCCTGGAATGACAGGTAGTAGAGGAAATGCCCTTGTTATTTACTCCTTCTTTCCCCGGGTCTGAAGGGCACAGCCTCAGTCTTGAGCTCTGTGGCCTGCAGCCCAGGCCTGGGAGCTCACCCCTCATGTCCTCAGGCTGAAGGTCCAAGCCATAGGTTCACTGAACCAGACGAGTGTCAGATCTTGCCACTCACAGCCCCTCCCTGGTGTCCACCAAGGGGCTGAGTGACAACCTTCTGGGTCATTTCATAGATGGGCCAACTGAGGCCTGGAGGGAGAAGTCAGCAGCACTCTGCCCCCTGCAGCAGAGGCCACACCCGCCCCTCCTCCCAGCCCCAGGAGTTTTAGAGAGCAGGAAGTTTGGAAGGAAGGGCAGGTTTTAGAATGTGACAGCTTGAGTTAGAGGGATTATAGGGTGGGTGGGGTCCGGGCAGGTGATGGCGTGTGGGTGCCAGTCCTCCAGGGCGGGTCCAGGATGCTAGTGAGCATCAGCTCCCTTGTCACTCCCCAGCCAAGGGACAGGAAGTCACGCTCATTTGTTCATCCAAATAATGTTCACCGAGTATCTACTATACTCTGGGCTCTCAGCCAGGCCCTGATAATCCACAGCTCATGAGAGCCAGACCTTAACTTTAAGGTGCCATCAATCCAGTGGAGGAAAGAGACAAGTAAACAAATATACCACGGCATCCTTGGTCGTAGGTTAGGGACAGAAGCCTTAGTCCCAGATAGCAGAATCTGAGCTGAGCACAGGGTGATGAGTTTATTTGACCGAGTCTGGAATCCATCTCCTGCACAGTTATATCCTCAACTCGGTCTGCCTCTGTATGTAGGATCCCCTCATCTGTATCCATCAATCTCATTGTCCCCTTGAGGGCTGGAGAGGACACTGGTTAGGGCAGAATTGAACTGTCATCACCAGAACAGTTGCTTTTCCCATGCAGAGTCCTGGAACCCCAGAGCTGACCCCACAAATGGCAGGTCACAGGGTGTGATGCTGTTGGGTGTGGATGACTCAGACCACCAAAGGAGCAGCTCCCAGGATGGATCACACAGGGACCAGGACAGTGGGTTACGGAGCAGGTGCAGAGTCTGGGTGGGGAACAGGAAGCCAGAATCCCTAGGTTTTATGTCTGCCACATGATCAAAGAGCAAAAGCTTCAAAGAAGCAAGTTCTTCGGAGGTGACAGAGAAGCAGCGTGGAGACAAATGGCAAGGAGTTGTAAGATCAAAAGATCTTCGTTCAGCAGAAGGAAAGACTTTCTAACACTTGGGGGCTGGCTAAGGGGCCTCTTATAGGTTGCAAGCTGGGACCATAGTCACGTAACCACCAAGAATTTGGCAACAGGAATTTGATGTTGGGCAGGAAGTTGTGAGAGAGATGGTCGCTGAGATTCTGGGATAATAACCATAATGACAGTTCTGACTCATCCCACCCCCTCTTGCCCATCTGTGATAAGGCTACAGATGTGTAGAGGGTGACCGGAGCTGGTCTGGGCTGTGGCAAGGAAAAGAGGAATCCAACACAGATGCCCCAGGGCTTGAACCCATATCTGGGGGCCCAGGAACCCTCATCAAATCCCAAATGCCCCCTGAATCCAGCCCGGGGGCTTGCCAAGTGGAGCTAATTACTACCCAAAACCTCACCCCCTGCTCCTGACTCATCCCGTAAAAGGGGACACTAGCCTCCTGTTCTGGCCTGTATCCAGACACTGTGATTGGTAAGCAGCAACATGAATTCCTGGGCCACAGATCCAAACTGCCCTCAGGCAAGAAGCCCCTTTCTTCCCACTCCCTCCCCGCCCCTTTGGAGGTTTTATTGTTGGTTTTTGTTTGTTTGGTTGGTTGGTTTTTGTTTTGTTCTTCTTTTTTGTCTACTTGTTTTTGTACTGGGAATAGAACCCCAAAGGCACTTTACCAACTGAGTCACATCACCAGCACTTTTTATTTTTTTATTTGAGACAGTGTCTCACTAAGTGGCTTAGGGCCTCGCTAAGTGGCTGAGGCTGGCTTTGAACTCCTCCTGCCTCAGCCTCCCAGTCACTGGGATTGCAGGAGTGCACCATGGTGACTGGCGCACATTTGATTTTCCATGTGGGTGAACCTGAACTGCTCCTCCAGTTCTGTTGATGTTAGACCTCATGATCTCATGTACAAGATGTGGAGGTTTCTTCCTGTGTTTCCAGACTAAACAGAGGCCACCTAAACTCAAAGTTCTGGGGCTTCAGAGGCCTGCACCTGCCCAAGGACTGTTGGAGGCAACTAGACATGAAGATTCTACTTGCCAGTGTGAGAAGCCCCAAGGCAGCAGGGAGTTGTGTTCTGGCTCCTGCCACACAAGGTCCCTATTGAACCCTGGTCCTGCGCAGGCCTGTTCACTCGCCACAGCAGTGGCTTTCGGAGTTCCCATGCTTGGGACACATATGTCACCGCATGAGTTCCTTCTCACATGTTCAGTCATTCTCCCCAAATGACAATGCCAGACTGGCGCCTTCAGCCTAATCCAAGCTTAAACTAGTCTTTTCCGTGGAACTTCCATGGCACCAGCCCAACCAACTCACAAGTGAGACCAATTAGGAGGCTGTTGCAGATTAGGTAAGAGACATGGCTCCCTGTGCTTCTGTTAGCCATTGCTGCGTGGCAAACCATGCCATCTCGAAGCTTAAGACAACAACAGTCATTTTCTTGCTTAGGAAGCTGCAATTTGGGGAGAGCTCAGCAGGGACAGCTTGTCTCTGCTCCATTTGGTTTCAGCTGGGGCAGCTTGACTGGGGGCTGAGGATCTGCTTGCAAGATGGCTCACTCTCCTGGCTGCCAAGCCAGAGCTGTCGGTCAGCTGGGAGCTCAGCAGACTGGAGGCTGGAGGCCTTGGTTCCTCTCCACGTGGGCATCTCCACGGTCATTTGGTTTTCCAAGAACAGGCAACTCAAGGGAGCCTAGAAGAAGTTGTATTAACATTTATGATCTAATCTTGGAAGTACAGAGTGTCATTCTGTTTTACTCACAAGTCTTCCAGATTGGAGGGATGGGACTCTATACCTATGTCTCAGTGAGACACATGTCAACATCATAACATTAGGGCATGTAGAATGGCAACCATCTTTAGAAAATACAATCTGCCACTCTCCCTTAATTAAAAGATTATGCGAGGTGGCTGGGGTGTGGCTCAGCAGTAGAGCACTTGCCTCCCACATGTGAGGCACTGGGTAAATAAACAAAATAAAGACTCTGCATCCATGTACAACTAAAAACTATTTAAAAAAAAAAAAGATTATACGAAGGTGCTGAAGCCTTTAAAAATACAAGCATGTTGGCGAACCCTCTCCAGACTTTGGCCCACAAGTGGTGAAAACTAGAGATGCCAAGATGGGAGGGGAGGGGGGGGATAGTAGAGGATAGGAAAGGGAGCAGAATACAACAGATACTAATAGGGCATTATGTAAAAATGTGGATATGTAACAGATGTGATTTTGCAATCTGTATTTGGGGTAAAAATGGGAGTTCATAACCAACTTGAATCTAATGTATGAAACATGATATGTCAAAAGCTTTGTAATGTTTTGAACAACCAATAAAAAAAATAAAAATAAAAAGAATAGAAAATTAAAAAAACAAAAAAAAATTAAAAAAAAAAATCACATGAGTAAACAGGAGCATTGTTAAAATCCAGATCATGAATTCCCAATAAAGATACTGATTTTAAAGTCCAAAAAAAAGAAAACTAGAGATGCCTAATGTGTATGCTTCCAGCTAAAGTCAAACAGGCAACCCTCTGCCTTCTTCTCTTTTTTTAATATTTATTTTTTAGTTATAGTTGGACACAACCCTCTGCCTTCTTCTCTTTTTTTAATACTTATTTTTTAGTTATAGTTGGACACGATGCCTTCATTTCACTCATTTATTTTTATGTGGTGCTGAGGATGGAACCCAGGGTCTCCCACGTGCCTGGCAAGTACTCTACCCCTGAGCCACAACCCTAGCTCCAACCCTCTGCCTTCTTGATTCACCTTCCATTCTACAAACGAATGTCCTCTCTTGGTCCACTTAAAACTATGGGGTTTTTTTTTGTTTGTTTTTTGGTTTTTTTTTTTTTTTGCATTTTTGTGCTTTTGTGTGATTGTTGTTGTTTATTTCTTGGGGGTGGGTAATTCTGCCATTTAAAATGGCCCCAAGCACAGCACTGAAGTGCTGCGTGGTGTCCCTAAGTGCAAGAAGGCTATGATGTTCCTTGCAGAGAAAATAAATGTTAAATAAATTCATTGAATTATAGTGCTATTGGCAAAATGAGTTCAAGAGTAACGAACCAACAATGAATATTAAGTAGTGTGCCTTTAAACAATAACACAGGTATAGATTAAGCTCCTAGGAACCCAACCCTGTATTTTCCTTACCAGCCACAGTTCAGTGCCCACAGGGACTTGAATGTAACTACTGAGAATAACGAGAATCCACGGTGTGTGTGACAAATAGTGGCTGGATGAGTCAGGCGTGGCGCCACCTATGGTCCCAACCACCTGGGCAGCTAAGGCCGGAGGATCACTTGAGCCCATAAATTCGAGACCAATCTGAGCAGCAAGGTGAAACCCTGTCTTAAAATATAAATAAACAAAAATAGTGGCTGCATGAACACAGGCCGGCAGCTGGAAGAGGACGGAAAGACAAGCCAGACGTGAACAGAAGGGTGCAGAAGCCTTGGCCTCATCTCCCTGCGCTCTGCCTCCGCAGGGGTCCGAGTCACCAGCGTGGACTGGCAGCGGTCGGGGAACGGCACTGCGCACCACACCCAGGAGTATCCTTGCCCTGAGCTGGTGGTCCGCAGGGGCCAGCCGTTCCGCCTCACCCTGGATCTGAGCGGAGACCTGGACAGCGAGGAGACCCTTATCTTCACGGTGGAGACCGGTAAGTGGGCTCGCCAGCGCCCCCTCTGGCCTACTGTTGAATAGCTGTGTCCTGTGACCACTCAAAGGAGACCCTGCCGTGGGCCGCCCCGGGTTCAGGCGGGTAAGCAAGTCTCTGCAAGGGAGCCTTAAATCTGTAGACTTCTGATAACCGCTTCCTGGGGACAGTTGGAAGGTGCTGCCTGCAGAGGGCAGGGTGGGTGAGATAGCCTCTCTGGAATCCTAGGCATGCCAAGGAATTCAGAGTTCCAGAAGGATATGGAAATCGGGGGGGAGGGTGGACACTTTGGGAGTTCAAACTTTTCTTTCCTTTCATGGTCAGGTATAAGGTAGATTTGGGTTCCTAAGGCTGCTGTCACTTTCCCCTTGTCCCAGGAGTGGCTGGGGGTCGGGGCAGCCGAGGCCTCCCACTCTGGCCTTCTTAGGCTTGCTCAGCCCCTTCTCCGGGGTGAGGTGGAGGCTTCCAAGGTGTAGCTTTCCCACTTCTCCAAAGCCGGGTTTCCTAGAGGCAGGGTCTCCTGACTCCCTCTCCTATCGTCCAGGGCCCAAGGCTTCCGAGGCCCTCCACACCAAAGCTGTGTTCCAGACGGCGGAGCTGGAGGGGGGTGACGTCTGGACCGCGGTGAAGGAGTCGCAGACGGAGAACAGCATGAGTGTCAGCCTCGCCAGCCCTCCCGATGCTGTGATCGGCCGCTACCAGCTGAGCGCCAGGGCTTCCTCTCGCAGGAGGCACAGTGACCGGAAGCTGGGAGAGTTTGTTCTCCTTTTCAATCCATGGTGTCCAGGTAGGTGCTGCCAAGTCCTAGTCAGAGGTTTTCCTGGAAGCCTCCTCAGAAGTGGGCATGCTCTTGATGGGACGTGGGAAGCAGGTGCAGGATCAAGGAGGTGAACGCCAAGAGCTGGGCCTTAGCAGAGGTGGGCATGGGCAGAGGAATCCAGTGGTTCCTGGTGTCAGAGAGGAGGGGAATGGGGCCTGATAGGCAGGTGAGGCCCAAGTGCAGGTGAGAGCAAGGCTGAGGTGTCAGACAGCCTTGGGGTAGTCCCAGCTCTGCTAAAGTGCTTCCCTCTGTGAGCCTCGCTTTCCACATCTGTAATACAGAAATGATACCAGCACTTAACTCTTGAGGCTATGGTTGGGAGATCGTGCAGCTAATGCTGTGACGCACAAGAGACATTACAAGGCCTTGGCAGGGGGTCATTGGGATCAGTCTTCTTATTAATATTTAAGAAATATGAGGTTGCAATTGGCATCCAAAAGGACTACCCAAAGGTGTCAGGATTCCCAAAACCCTTCCGTCTTGGGCTGGGCCAGGGTTGGTCCCTGCCTGGGGAAAGACTGCTCAGGAGGGATGAGGCTTGATAGAGTGGCAACACGGGAGCCTGCAAGCCCCTCTTGCTTCTCCTGCCACGGTCAGCCTCCAGGCACAGTCCTGCTGCTGGCCCTGATGCAGTCCCTTCCCCAGGCCGGCAGGGCCAGAGCCCCAGCCCACGCTGGGCCTGATGACTGCTTTTCAGAGGACGATGTATTTCTGGCCTCAGAGGAAGAGAGACAGGAGTACGTGCTCAACGACAGTGGCATCATATTCCGAGGCGTGGAGAAGCACATCCGAGCGCAGGGCTGGAACTACGGGCAGGTCTCCAGGGGTGCAGCCAGTCGGGGATGTGGGCTGGGGTATGGGAAAATCCAGCCAGGAGCCCAGCTGTCCACTCCTTTCTAGGAGGTTAAGTGGAGCCAACTCCTAGAGCCTGTAAACCAAAGGAGCATATCAAGGAGGCAGATGTGGCTCAAAAGCAAATCATGTTTGTGACTTCACTGTGCCTAGTGGGGAGTTATAGGAAGTATTGAATGGGAGGACATGAGTAAGGTTGAGCTTCTTGTTCCTCAGGGAACTCTCTGAGAAAGTGTTTCTGATACTTGAGGATGTTCTGTGATGTCCCGGGAAGGCAGGGCACGAGATTAGGACAAAACTCCCCTGCATAGACACAAGTGACTGTGGGATCAGGTGGGATTGTGGAAAAGTCTGGAATATGGGTGAGGCTCTAGTCTCTAAACACAGCCTCTCTGGGGAGCAGTTTGAGGAGGACATCCTGGATATCTGTCTGTCCATCCTGGACCGAAGCCCCAGTCACCAAGATGACCCAGCCACTGATGTGTCCCATCGTCACAACCCCATCTATGTCACCAGGATCATCAGTGCCATGGTGAGGAGTCCCCTGCTATCTCTATATATAGACTCCTTCAAGAATCCCTAAGCCAACCCAGGACCACAGCCTAGGGGTTCCCAACTCATTCCTTGTTTTAATTCTCTATTGCTACATAAATCCCGCCCAGCACACACACACACACACACACACACACACACACACACACACACACAATGGTATAAAAATTTACAGATCAGGAATTTGAGCAGGGTACCATGAAAATGGCTTGTCTCTGCTTCAAGATGCTTCAACTAGGGATTTCTGAGTGGCTACAAATGTCTTAGATAACTTGATGGGACCATATATCTGGGAACTTGGTTCTGGTCCTCAGCAGTTCCTTATTTTCTGCCCACACAGTATCTACTGGAACTAGAATGTTCAAAATGGCTCCCTCACTCTCACGCCAGGGTCCTGGGCCCAGGGTGGCTGGAATTGCCAAGCCTGGCCAGTCATCACGGCTTCTGCCCATGCAGCCTCTCCGCATGGCTAGCTTGGGCTTCCTCACAGTGGGGGGATCTCATCCACAATGCTGGCTTCACCCACAGCAACTGCTCCAAGAAAACAGGAAGCAGACCCTACTAGGCTTCAAGGCCTGGGCCTGAAAACTGTTCCAGCATCACTTCCACAATGGACAGTGGTCAATGCAGTCTGAGGCCAGCTCAGACGCAAGAGCAGCAGGCATAGACAGACGTAACCTCTCCATGGGAGGAGTGCCCACTTTAACTGACCTCAGGCCGCATACTCCCTCCACAACAGGTGGTGAAGGGACCTACTAGTGCTTTCTATCCATGCAGGAGTTCAGGTCAGTGGGTGGGAATCTGAGATCCCCAGATTGGACAAAGCTGTGCTTCTCATAATGGATGCTCTCCAGACCTCAAGACCTCAGATAGATGTTGGTGCTCTGAGAATCAGCAGCAATGGCCAACCCCATACAGTAGAATATTACAGCCAGCTGACAGTAGTGCAGGCTCCACACCCAGGTCTTGAGCTCATGGGTCACCCCTTTAACTAACTTGCTATATGATTTGGTCAAGTCCCTGAACTCCTCTGAACTTCAGTTTTCTCATAAAAAGGGGGTGTGGGGGGGTACAACAGAACCTGTGGAGGAAAATAGAACCATAAACTTAAAAGGTTAACTAGCATAAACAAAATCCTTAGAATAGCCAGGCACCATGGTGCATACCTATAATCCCAGCAGCTCTGGAGGCTAAGGCAGGAGGACTACAAGTTCAAAGCCAGCCTCAGAAATTCAGTGAGGCCCTAAGCAACTTAATATAACCCTTTCTGAAAATAAAAAAATAAAAATAAAAAGGGCTTCGGGTGTAGCTCAGTTGTTAGGCACCCCTGAGTTCAATCCCTGCTAACAACAACAACAATAACAAAATCCTTAGAAAAGAGCCTGGCATTCAATAAATGTCAGCTATCTCTCTAATTACTATACCCACTAGCAGTCCTGAAATATAAATCATTTAAAATAGGAAATTCTCTGAATTATAGATGATTTTTAACAAGATTATCCAAATGGAAAATAATTAAAAGTTATAAGTAGTTCCAAAAAATGTAGGGTTTTTGTTTTGTTTGGTTTGGTTTTTGTGGTTCTGGGAATCAAATCCTAGGCTTCATGGCTGCTCAGCACCTGCTCTACTCCTGAGCTATGCTCTCAGCCCAAAAATGTAGGTACTTTTAAGACAGCAGAGACCCCCCCCCACTTATCAGGCGATTGAAAAGCAAGGGGTGACCCCAATTGACTAGCTGGTCCAAGTAGGAGATGATTTCATAATGGTGAGGCTCCTGCTGTGGGAAACCTGCATGGTGGGTGGAACTGTGTCTCCTCTGCTCAGGTGAACAGCAACAATGACCGGGGTGTCGTGCAAGGACAGTGGCAGGGCAAATATGGCAGCGGCACCAGCCCACTGCACTGGCGCGGCAGCGTGGCCATCCTGCAGAAATGGTTCAAGAGCAGGTTCAAACCAGTCAAGTACGGCCAGTGCTGGGTCTTCGCTGGAGTCATGTGCACAGGTATCAGAAAGAGGTGCCCCTCTCTTCAGCCTGCTCCCTATTCTCATTCATTTACATATATTTGCATTGCTGTAGTCTGTCTTCATTGGTGAGGGGGTAATGACCAGGAGATCAGTTCATTTACTTGAGTTTTGATTTTTATTTGGCAGAAAGTCCTCCCTTTGCCTCTAGCTCATTGAGTGTCCTGGGCAAGCCCTGTGGCCCCTTAGACTTTGGTCACTCTTCTGTGGCATCTGAGGTTTTGCCAGCCTCAGAGCCTGCTCAGAGTGGCATCTCCAGAAGTCCCTGAGACGACAATGTACAGAAGATGGCGTCTGAGGGAGTGGAAGTCTCAGCCCTGTCACCTGCCAAAGTAGACAAAGGCTGTGGGGACTGTGGCGGGAAATGGGGTGGAGCAGCCTCCCAGCTCTCTGCTCTGCAGTCCTCAGGTGCTTGGGGATTGCGACACGAGTGGTGTCCAACTTCAACTCGGCCCACGACACTGACAAAAACCTGAGTGTGGACAAATATGTGGACTCCTTCGGGCGGACCCTGGAGGACCTGACAGAAGACAGCATGTGGTGGGTCCTGGGCTACTGTCTCAAGGTCAGGGTCAGGGTCAGAGTCTAACCAGCCCAGCCCCAATGCCCTCCCTTCCTTTCCTCATACAAAATTTTCTTTCTGATGTTGGATCCTCTGTCACCACCCAGGCTATCAGAGTCCCCCCTGCTTACCCCAAAATGTTTATCAAGGTATTTTTCCCAAGACAACAACCTCCCAAAGAGGTGTTCTGAGGCCAACTGTAAAGATGCCAAGTCAGGCAAACCAGGAATCAGGTATCTCTCTGCTACTTCCTTCCTGTGTGACCTTGTGCAAGTGATGTCACTTTTTCTAGACTTGTATTCTCACTTTAAACACAGAGTTGAAGATAAACTGGGGACTTCTTACCAGGGCCTATAGAGCTTTCCATCATCTAAATCCTGCCTACCCCGGAGATATTGACCTGCTTTCTATTTCTCGAACACACTCACCTTTTTCTTATCTCCAGACCTTTGCACATGCTGTTCTTTCTGCCTGGATCACTGTTCTCTTCGCTCTTCTTCTGGTGAATTTCTTTGCACTTAGGTCTGGCCTCCGATGTCATTTACCTAGAGTAGATCTCCAGCAGTTATTCTCTAACTCAACCCCTCTTTTCTTCACAGCTTTCATTGTCACTTGCATTTGTTTCATTTATCTCCTAACTTAATGCTGCCTGTATCCCCATGGGTCCCCTTTGTTAAAATTTAATTTTCATGAAAGCAAGGACGCTGTGTCGTATTTGCAGTTATATTTCTCGTATCTTGAAGAACAGGCTCGTGATATATACATACACACACACACACACACACACACACACATATGTGAGTGATGTGTGGATACAGTTGAATGAGTGATTGACATGCGGGGGCCATAGCACTCATGGGCTGGTCTACAGCAGGGGCTTCCCTCCCATGGACTTCAGATCTCATGCAAGGCCACCTCACCCACCCTCTCTCTATGGCAGGAATTTCCATGTCTGGAACGAGAGCTGGTTTGCCCGGCAGGACCTGGGCCCCTCTTACAATGGCTGGCAGGTTCTGGATGCCACACCCCAGGAGGAAAGCGAAGGTAGGGCTCCGCCAGCCAGTCCCAGATCTCTGCTTTTCCTCCCCTAGCTGCTCACGCCCACCCCTCCTGCCCAGGTGTGTTCCAGTGTGGCCCCGCCTCAGTGACTGCCATCCGAGAAGGTGACATACACCTGGCCCACGATGGCCCCTTCGTGTTTGCGGAGGTCAATGCCGACTATATCACCTGGCTGTGGAATGAGGACGAGAGCCGGGAGCGTGTGTACTCGGACACCAAGAAGATTGGAAGGTGCATCAGCACCAAGGCGGTGGGCAGTGACTCCCGTGTGGACATCACAGGCCTCTACAAGTATCCAGAAGGTAAGGGCCACATGCTGGCTTTTATTCAATTCCCCAGATGGCCCTTGGGCTGTGGAGGGCTGGTTCCCAGTAGCCTAGGGCCAGATCCTTTCCCAGATGTCTGGTGACAATCACAGCTTCCATTGACATTGTCCTGGGTTCTGAGCCAGTGCCTTTGTTTAGGTTAAATTAATAGCTTCCTCTGATTGCTAAGTACCCTTCCGTGTTAGAAGATGTTCCATGTCTAATAACAGCTACATGTCCTTGACTCTCCACCTAGGCCAGGCACTGTTAGGAATATTCACATATGATAACAGTAATTACCACTACTACTAATGATGATGATAGTATCCCGCGTTTCATATTGAACTCCCAGGAAACATGGCTCTAGACATAATTCCAAATAAGTGACAGCAGCTCTTGATTGTCATCTGTCAAGGCCTCTGCCAGAGCCATTCATTAGCCGCTGGTTTGTGAAAAAGCCTGTACTTATTGGGGTACCAAAATAAGATGGTTGTACTTTTTTCTCATAGTCACCTTCAACTATATACTTTGACAGTCTTCCCTTCCCACGGAGGAATGGGTCCCTGAGCACAAATGTGATCTGATCCATCTGTGTTCAGCCACATCTGTTTGTCTTAAAAAAAAAAAAAAAAAAAAAAGTGTTACTGGGGCTGGGATTGTGGCTCAGTGGTAGAGCACTTGCCTCTCATGCATGAGGCACTGGGTTCGACCCTCAGCACCATATAAATGTAAAATAAAGATATTGTGTCCACCTAAAGCTCCAAATATATACATACATATATATATATATATATATATATTTTTTTTTTTTTTTAATGTTACTAAGTAAAAAGAGTTTGGGTTCAAATAGGAATGAGAGCTTGTCTCCTCCTCTCCCCTGAGTAAAAACTAAAGCTGTGACCCTGGAAGGTTGCTGTGCAGGAGGGGACAGGGTCTGCTCTGGAGCCTCTCTGGGGTTGGGGAGAGAGGTCTTGGCTGGCTGTCTCCACCTAGCCTGTCCCTCCAGGTCTCTTCTCGTCACTCAGGTAAGTAAGGCAGGTAAGCAGACCTCCCAGAGAGAACATATGCCAGCTTCCTTTTTTCTTTTCAGATAGGCACTGCCAGTCTTTACCAGCAGGCCCCTTCCTCTTGCAGACACCCCAAACCTTAATGTGGATTCTTTTTGACACTACCGTATTCTTGCACATGCGCGTGCGCACGCACACATACCAACATTTGCTGAGTTCCCAGCTCTAGGAACATGGCGCTCTCTTGACTGTTGGGTGGGGCTGGGTGGTGAGGCCTCTTCTGCACTGGCACCTCTCCCTCAATCCTGCAGGTGGATGGCTGGTCCCACCTGCTGGACCTTCTGCAGCTTAGAACAGGGGTCTTTTGCCCCAAGCTTTTAGCTATGGCTTCAGAAGACACCAACATCCTGTTATAATAACAATAAAGAATTTTCACCCAGCTGGAAATCTGCATTTTTATGTGAATTTTCCTGCTCTGAAGTTATTGGCAGCAGATTATAAATTTATTTAAATAGAGAACCCCACACAGGCAGAGGCTGAGGTCTGCACATGGCTCTCCGGCTGCCAGTTTGGGACCTCTGAGAGCCGTGGGAATTTGAAGTGGTGATGAGTGACAGTTCTACCTGGAGAAGGGGGACCCGGGCGGGCAGAGGAGGAAGAAGGTCTGGCAGCTGATCTGTGCGGTGCCCTGCAGGGTCCCGGAAGGAGAGGCAGGTGTACAGCAAGGCCGTGAAGAAGCTGTTCGGCGTGGAAGCCAGGGGGAGGAGGACGTGGATCCGCAGGGCCGGCGGGCGGGGTCTCTGGCGTGACGACCTCCTGGAGCCCGCCACCAAGCCCAGCATCACCGGCAAGTTCAAGGTGCTGGAGCCGCCGGTGCTGGGTCACGACCTGCAGCTGGCTCTGTGCTTGACCAACCTCACCTCTCGGGCCCAGCGAGTCCAAGTCAATTTGAGCGGCGCCACCATCCTCTACACCCGCAGGCCTGTGGCCGAGATCCTGCACGAGTCCCACGCGGTGAAGCTGGGTCCGCAGGAAGGTGAGAACCCTGGCTTGTTGCGACCCCGCTAAGTCACCTCCTTTTGCAAGGATTGAGGGTGGAGTGGGCTTCCCTGGTTCTGCGCCCATTCCCAAGAAGGAAAGGGACATTCCTGAGCTTTGTGCTCAATGCCTTTCCTCTTGGCCCCACTTTGCAGATGAGAGAACTTGAGGTTTAGAGGGGCAAATGATAATAATAGTAATGAAAGTCCCCAACCTCTGGTGGCAAACTGACCTGGTGGTGAGGCGATTTATAGTCTCTATCTCATCCCAATGAATGTGAATGTTTACAGGCTGAATCAACACCGTCTGGAAGCTGGTCAAAATGTACGGCATATGCCTTGTGTTACTTTTCTAAAATCCAAAAAAATTCTGGAGCCCATCTGGCTCCATGTATTCTGTGTGGGAGGAGAGGACCAGAAAGAGATGTTCCTTAGGTGCTTCTGTGTGACAGGCCATCCTGAGAGTTCTGATGCAAAGACAGAGACCCACAACCACATGCATAGGCACTAGTGGTAGCTCGGTCACTCCAAGGATGAAACTCACATCCAGAGTCCAAAGTCACACAGTCCATGCATGTAGTGGAAGGACCCAAACCCAAGCAACCCCACCTTGGGAGACACACTCCTGATCAAGGGCAGGAAAGTGGTAAAGCCAGGATTCCAAGACAGCGATGCTAGACCCCGGGCACACCTGCCTCAGCCCCCTGCAGTCCCTTGACTACAGGATGTGCAGTGGGCAGCTCAGTCCACGCCCAAGGGCACAGAACAGGCCTGATGGTGTATTGGCTTAAGATTCATCCTAGATGTTTCACCACAAAATGGAATAGCGCCAGTCCTTTGGAAGGTTTTTGTATAAATTTATCTGACTTTATTGTTTTTTAAAAATATATCAAAGGGGCCTGGGATTGGGGCTCAGTGGTAGAGCGCTTGCCTAGCACGTATGAGGCACTGCGTTGGATCCTCAGCACCACATAAAAAAATGAATAAATAAATTAAATAAAGGTATTGTGTCCATCTACAACTAAAAATATTTAATATATATTTTATACATATATATTAAATATTTAATATATATATCAATGAACTATTTTTCATAGACATATCACACTTGATAGGATTTACTAAATGTAACCTATTTGATTTTTCTTTGATTATCCTCACTTTCTCCCTTCCTGTCTCTCCCTCCCTGTCCTTTGCTCTTTGTCTGTCTGTCTCCCTCTCTTTCCTTCTCTGTCTCCTTTCTTTCTCTCCCTTTCTCGCCCTCCCCCTGTTTCTTCTTTCACAAGCTCTCTGAACTCTAAAGCGTCAGTTCGACGTTGTTTAATTGAAGCTGTTTCTCTAGACCAGCTTCTGATAAGTGAACCTTTGGATTTTGACGGGGCATGAAAACATATGAAGGGGGCTTCACACATTTTTTAGCTCTTTTTGTCACAAAAGCTAAATCACAAAATAACACTTCATAATGAAATATTAATTAACACACACTTTCCCCTGGCTTTTAGCAATTTTTTTTCATGTTGAAAGTAATACATATTCATTAAAGATTTCAAGAGTAAAAGAGAAAAATCGCCTCTGATCTTGCCACCCACCTACAAACTGTTAACAGGTTTTTCCTTCCAAATTGTTAATGCCTGTTTGCTTTTGTGAAAAAAACATAGTTCTAATTAAATATTGCAAAACTCATTAGTGTCCTGATTTTCATATTATAAAGTAATTTAAATATTTTTATAAGCTCTTCATAAACATCATTTTAATAGATGTGTAATATTTGAATAAATATATGATGATTTATCTTTCCTCTTCTTTGGGTAATTACCAGCTTATTGCTATTAAAAATAGCATTAAGTAAACATCTTGATGCAAAAAAAATTTCCACTTTTTTCTTCTGGATTTTGACTATTTTTGGTAGAACAGATTTATAAAAGTGATATTCTTAAGCCAAGTGATATGACTCTTAAGTCATATAATTAATTAAAATATATAACTCATTTTTAAATAAATAGACTTTATCTTTTAGCAGTTTTATGTTTACAGAAAAATCGAGCAGAAAGTACAGAGAGTTCCCTCCTACCCCCTCAACACCACCACTCTTCTCCTAACATCTTGCATTGCTATATTGTACTTGTTACCATGGACGAACCAGTGTTGACATACTATTTTCCATTTATTTGCATAAATTCCAGGACCTCAATTGCTGGATCATCTGATAAAGTACACAGTTTACACTAGGGTTCCCTCTTAATGTTATATGTTATATGGGTTCTGACAAATGTATAATAGTCTGTATCCAGTATTAGAGAAACATACAAAATAGTTTCTCTACCCTAAAAATTCACTGTGCTTCACCTATTTATCCCTGTGTCATTACTCCCTGCATCCCAGGCAACCACTGATCTTTTAACTGTTGCCATTGTTTTATTTATCCAGAATATCATATAGCAGGAATCATACCCTTTATAGCCTTTTCAGATTGCATTATTTTCCCTGGCAATATGTATTTATATGTGTTTTGTTAGGTTTTGTCTCTTGGTCTCTTGATGTCTTATTTCCTGAATGAGAATACTGAATCATAAGTATTCCATTATATGGATGTACAGATTTTATCCATGCACCTACTGAAGAACATCTTGGTTGCCTCCAATTTGGGGTGTTTATGAATAAAACTTCTGTAAATATCTGTATTAGTGTGTTGCATTACCACAATGAAATGCTTGAGGTCAGTCAACTTTATAAAGAAAAAAGATTTAAGGCTAGAGGTGTAGCTCAGTGGTACAGCACTTGCCTAGCATGTACAGAGTCTAGGTTCAATCCCAGCACTACACACAAAAAAAAAAAAGAGGAAGAAAGGAGAGTTATCTAGTTCATAGTTCTACAGGCTGAAAATCCAGATAACATAGTGCAAGCTGTGGTAATGGCCCCATGACAAATGGCAGAGCCATGCAGGAGGAGAGAGTGTATCCCAAAACAGGCAGCACGAAAGACTGGGATCCCATAATCCCTTTGAAGAACACACTCCCAGTGATATAAGGACCTCTCCCTAGAACTCACCTCTTGAAGGTCTCACCTCCTCCCAATACTGCCACCTGGGGACCAAGCTTCAAATACAGGAACCCTAGGAGGGACACACTTACACCATACCCAAACCATAGAAATATTCCTATGCAGGTTTTTGTGTGGATAAGTTTTCCATTTGTTTGCATACATTCCAGGACCTCAATTGCTGGATCATATGATAAGTGTTTGTTCAGTTATGTAAGAAACTGCCAAACTGTTCACCATAGTGGCTGTGTCATTTTGCATTGCCACCAGCATGAATGAGAATTTCCTAGACTGTGTTGTGGTGTATTGGGGAGCATTGCTTTGTAATATATGTGAAATAGTGTCTCATTGTTCCAATTTGTAATCCCCTAATGACATATGAAATTGCATATCTTTTTATACATTTGTTTGGCATCCATATATTTTCTAGATCTTTGCTCCTTTCTTATTGGGGTTGTTTTCTTATTTGGGTTTTCTTATTATCGGGTTTTAGATCTTTGTGTATTTTGAGTAACAGTCTTTCATCAGGCATGTCTTTTGCAAATATTTTCTTCAGGTCTGTGGATTGTCTTCATAACCTCCTGATGGTGCATTTTGCAAGGCAGAGTTTTTAATTTTAATAAAATCCAACCTGCTAATGTTTTCTTTTCATGAATCAAGCCTTTAGGCTTGATTGTATTGTTGTATGTAAAAAGTCACCACCAAACACAAGGTCATCGAGATTTTTCTCTTACTATCTTGAGGAGTTTGTAATTTTTGCATTTTACATTTAACTGTATGTTCATTTTGAGAAAATTTGGGGGAAAATGTGAAGTCTGTATCTAGATCGTTTTTTTCCTTTCCTCCCCCTCCCCCACAAGTGGGTGTCCAGTTGTTCTAGTACCATTTGGAAAGACTTTTATTTCTTTATATTTCCTTTGCTCCTTTGTCAAAGATCAGTTGATTATATTGGTGCACGTCTATTTCTGAACTCTACTTTGTTCCATAGATCTATTTGTCTGTTCTTTCTCCAGCCACACTGCCTTGATTCCTGAAGCTTTATAGTAACTCTTCAAGTGGGACAGAGCCAGTCCTCCTACTTAATACTCCCCTTTAGTAGTGCATTAAGTATTATGAGTCTTTTGCCTCTCCACATAAACTTTAGAATGAGTTTAGCAAGATCCAGGTGAGGTGGCACAGGCCTATAATCCCAGCTACTCAGAAGGCTGAGTGGGGAGAATCACTTGAGCCCACTGATTCTAGACCAGCTTGGGCAACATAGAATCAAGTCTCAAAAACAGTTAGCTTATCAGGACCTGCAAAATAATTCTTTTGATGTAAATTGCATTTCATTTATAGATTAAAATTAGGAAGAACTTACATCTTGAGAATAATGAGCTTAAAATATTTCTCCAACTATTTAGTTTTTTTGATTTGTTTCCCAGAGTTTTTAGTTTTCATTACATAGATAGTGAACATATTTTTTAGATTCATGCCTAAGTATTTAATTTTGAGGGGTGCTAATATAAATGGCATTGTGTTTTTAATTTCAAATTCCAATTGTTCATTTATGGTACATAGGAAAGTGGTTGACTTTTGTGTATTAATCTTATATTTTATAATCTTACTATAATTGGAAGTTTTTATTTGTTAAGATTTTCTACATAATTGATCATGTCATCTATAAGCAAACACTGCTTTTTTCCCCAATCTGTATACCTTTTATTTCCTTTTCTTATCTTATTGCAATAGCTAGGATGTCTACTATGATGTTGAAAAGGAATGGCAAAAGAGAATCTTTGTCTTGTTTCTGATCTTGAAGGGAAAGCTTCTGGTTTCTTACCATTGAGTTTGCTGTGTGCTATAGATTTTTTTCATAGGTGTTCTTTAACAAGTTGAGGAAGTTCACCTCTGTTCTTTGTTTGCTGAGAGTTTTTTTTTTATCATGAACAGGTGTTGCATTTTCTCAAATTCTTTTTATGCATCTGTTGTTATAATCATGTGATTTTCTTCTGTGGATTTGGTAGATTACATTAATTGACTTTCAAATATTTAACTAACTTTGTATGCCTGGAATAAACCCCACTTGATTGTGATGTGTAATTCTTTTTGTACATTATTGGATTTTATTGGTTAATATTTTGTTGAGGGACTTTACATCTGTGTTCATAAAAGCTATTGGTCTTTGGTTTTCTTTTTTTGTAATGTCTTAGCTAGATTTTGATATTAGGGTTATGCTGGTCTCACAGAATGCATTAGGAAGTATTCCTCTGCTTCCATCTTCTGAAAGAGATTGAGTTAGTATAATTTCTTCCTTGATTACTTAGCAAAGAAATCAAGGCTTGGTAATTTCTGTTTGGAAAAATATTAAATACTGATTCAATTTATTTTTTTATGGTAAGGGGGATTGAACCCAGAGGTGCTTTATCTCTGAACCACATCCCCAGCTCTATTTTTTATTTTGAGACAGGGTCTCCCTAAATTACTCAGGGTCTCATAAAGTTGCTGAGGCTGGCCTTGGACTGCATTCCTCCTTCCTCAGCCTCCCAAATTGCTGGAATTACAGGTATGTGCCACCATACCCAGCTTGATTCAATTTCTTTAATAGATATAGATGCATTTTAATTGTCTGCTTCTCTTTCTGTGAGTTTTGATAGGTTATTGAAATTTTCAAGGGTTTTTGGTTATCAAATTAACCATTTTTGATTATCAAATTTGAGGGTATATAGTTTCCACAAATTCCTCAACAATTTTTAATGTCCATGGGATCTATAATAGTGTCCCTTCTGATATTAGTAACTTGTGTCTTTCCCCCCTCCCCTTAGCCTGACTAGAAACTCATTGCTTTTACTGATCTTGTCAATCAGCTGTAGGTTTTGTTGGTTTTCTCCATTGATTTCCTGCATTCAATTTCATTGATTTCAGCTCTGATTTTTATTATTCCTTTTCTTCTGCTTATGTTGGATTTAGTTTTTGTAGTTTCCTAGTGAAAGCTGAGGTTATTGATTTTAAGCCTTCCTTCTTTTCTACTATCTGCTTTGAATGATAAAAATTTCCTTCTTAGTTTTGCTTTCACTGCATCCCAGAAACTTTGAAGTTTTACTTTTATTTTCATTTAGTTCAAAATATTTTAGACTTTATCTTGAGCTTTCTTCTTTGTGTTGTTTAATCTCAAAGTATTTTGTATTCTCCAGCTATCTTTCTGTTATTGATTTCTAGTTTGAGTCCACTGTGGTCTGAGAGCATACATGATATGATTTCTATTATGTTTTTCTTTTTTTTGCATGGGTTCTTATCCATATTTTATTAGTTTATTAAGTAAGCACTCATTGAATTCTCATTGCATATCAAGACAATAGAAACAGATAAAATGAAGAATTTGTGTCTCACCCAGGAGATTATGGAGAAATGGGAAGACAACAGACAATCTCAGGATGATGTGCTTAGTGCTGCTATGTGGTGGGGATCTTGGGGAATGGAAAATCACCCTGCAGAGAGCGGGGACAGGAAGGGAAGTCATCAAGGAAGGCTGCTAGAAGTAGAAGGGGACCTGGGGACAAGTTCTTGGAGTGGGGAGGAGACCTACATTGCAAAAGTGCAATGACATGAGAGGGTACAATGGTTCCAGGAAGGAGTATTTCAAAAGGAGAAGGGAGAAGCTGCCCATCTCTTAAGTCCCAATTTTGGAAGGTACACAGTACCACTTCCATGATCATCTGTTGGTTCAAACAGGCTCCTAGGTCAGTCCAGATTCAACAGGAAGGGGTGTACATTTACCTCCTGATGGGAGAGTGCTAAGGCCTGCAGACAAAAGTGCATTTGGAAGTGGAGACATGTGGCCTGTGGAATCATGGGATGCTGCAGGTCACCCAGGGCAGGGAAAGGACCCACAAGAAGGGGGAGGACTCAGTGTTTCCACAACCCAATTTCCTAGAGCTTCCTAGAGGAAGCTCAATGCCATGTTTGCCATGGAATTAAATTATTTACCAATGGGGAATGGCAGACATGGAGAAATGTAAATTTTTTTAAATCTGCAAGCTGTTCTATGCTGTCAGCCTGGCTCTAGACTCTGAATCGCCAGTGCAATTGGTAGTAACTAGGTCCCTGATTCTTCCTCACTACTCCCCCATAGCTCTTCATTGGTGTAGACGAGATAATGTATAAACTACAAAATCATCTTCCCTTATTGTATTTGGAGAAGGTGATAAAGACTTTGTATCTGTGAGGTCTAATTTCCATGGTGTTGCAATTTATAGGCATCTCCTGCTCTCTCTAATGTGGACAGCTTTATCCTCTTCATTTAAAAGAATGTTGAAGGCAGACGCAATGGTGCATGCCTGTAATCCCAGTGGCTCAGGAGGCTGAGGCATGAGGATCACAAGTTCAAAGCCAGCCTCAACAACTTAGCAAGGCCCTAAGTAACTCAACAAGACCCTGTTTCTAAATAAAATATTAAAAAGGGGCTGTACCTGACTCAATGAATAAGCGCCCCTGGGTTCAATCCCTGGTACCACAAATAAATTACAATTAAAAATATTTTTTTTAAAACATAAGAGCATATCGATGCTGGACTCCTCTGGCCCTGCATCTGGGACTTTCACCTGCTGGTCAGAGAACAGGTATTTGTATTCAGAGCTAACTTCCAGCCTTGACAGAGTGGCTTCTGGCGACACACGGGGCTGATTTCTATTCCTTTAAAAGTCATTAATGTGTTATTTATGGCACAAAATGGGATATATCTTGGTGAATGCTCCATGTGATCTTGAGAAGAATGTGTGTTCTGCTGTTGTTGGGTGACGGATTCGAAGGCTGTCAGTTGTATCGGGTTGATTGATGGTGCTGTTGAGAATCACTCTTCTAGGGAAAGAGTCTCAGCTTTCCTAGGGCAGCTCGCGGAGTCTGTGACTTAAAGGACTTCGGAAGCTGTGGTCTGGACACTGTGGTAGTTCACCCTTCTCTTCCTTTTTCCCAGAGTCTGAACTGGTGCTCAAAGCTCTGTCCATCCTATCATGGTGGCATATGGTGGCTCTTTATGCTGGAACTGGGGATTTGCATTTCTAACATCTCAGATGATGCTGATGTGTCTGGTCCCAGGACCATGTGAGGAGCCATAGTCTATCACCCTGCAAGAAACAAATGATATTATATATGCAAAGTATTTGGCATAATTCCTAACACCTAACAAATGTATAATGGTTGGTGGTATTTGTCCTTATTTTTATATTTCTATCAGTTGGGGATGTTAGTAATCATATTTGCTCATGGAATTGTTGTGAAGATTAAATCAGTTAATCCATGAAAGTGCTTCAAAGTACCCTGCATGCTTTAATCCATTAGTGAAAGTTAACTTTTAAAATAATGAATTATTGCTAATATTGATATAAAGGCTTTTCCAGTAAAAACTTATTGGACTAAGGGAGCCCAAAAGACGAGGTAGCACTTTCACACTGGCATTCAGGAGCATCTACTGAGGCAAAGTCCTAGGTGGCTGAAAGTATGCACCAAGTTCAAGTCCTTTAAGCCTCTTTCCACAAGTTCAAAACTCAGATGCCACCAGGGTCAGGAAGAAAAGAGAGATAAAGAAAGTAGTGGCAGAGCAATAGAGTGGGGCCTGGAGCAAACCAAAAAGGGCACATTACACCTAAAAGAAAAAAAAATAATACATATTGGTCCAAAACCACAAATATAATGGTCACACATGGTTTGTGGCAATTCATACGCTTAAGAAGAGAATACCTAGGGAGGGTGTTTCTGCCTGGTGAGAAGGAGACAGAGACACCCAGGACCATGGGAGCTCAGAAGACTTAAGACGACTGAGAAGGAGAGTCAGTGAAGCCTTCCCACAGCTACTGGGGCTGACTGGGACTAGCCCTTTCTGGAGAAGGAAGTTTTAGAGAAGTTGTGAGGAAGTGGGTCTCATCGGACTGGAAATTTGAGGCAGTCTTTGGTTTCCTTCTTCTCTGTGCCTGGCACATAGTAGGTGGTCAATAAACAGTGACTGAATTCCTAATGGAATGGTTGATGAACTGAGAGATTGCCATCTTGAATAACTAGAGAAAATTTCAGATATGTCTCTGGATGCTCTTAGAGAGATAATCCGGTGTCACAGTAGCTTACTGGCCTGAATTTGATTTTTTTCTCATCTTGGCTCCTTGATAAACTTCTTATGAGGCTTTGGGGGGAAAAAATTACCCTCTCTGAGCCTCAGGTTTCTTCATCTATGAACTCAAGAGAATAAGGCCTTTCTCAGGATGGTTGCCAGGACCAGAGAGGGTATAGCTATTGATGGGCATTCCTTCCACTTGGGGGTACCATTGAAGAAAAACATCAAGCTCCCACCTCCCACCTCTGCTTTCCCTTCCAGAGAAGAAGATTCCAGTAGCAATATCTTACTCTCAGTATAAAGAAGACCTGACAGAAGATAAGAAGATACTATTGGCTGCCATGTGCTTTGTCTCCAAAGGAGAGAAGCTCCTGGTGGAGAAGGACATTACCCTGGAGGACTTCATCACCATCAAGGTGGCTTCTGTCACATCTACCTTCCCAGTAGGCCCACTTCAAATCTGGGGGGAGGGCATCAAAAACTGGGGAGCTCGTACCATTAACATCAACTTCAGCTCCCAAGGGGGAGGGGGAGAGGTGGGGATGCAGGGGATGGTGGGTACCAGGGAGGAGTAGGTGCCGGCAGGATGGACATGGCCAATGCCCCATCCTTTGACCTAGCCAGAACCATGGGTTTCCTGGAGGGATGGTGAGGAGGAGGGATGGCTCATGGGTGTTACCCTTCCAGGTGCTGGGCCCAGCCACCGTGGGGGTGGCAGTTATAGTGGAAGTGACGGTGGTCAACCCCCTCTTGGAGAAAGTGGAGGATGGTGTGCTGATGGTGGAGGGCAGTGGCCTTCTCCAAGGACAGCTCAGCATAGAGTAAGTGCCACCCTGGATCAAGGGAGCCCAGAAAGCCAGGTAGCACTTTCACACTGGCATTCATGAGCATCTACTGCACACAAAGCCCTAGGTGAACAGAGAGTACGCCCAAGTTCAAGTCCTTGAAGCATCTTTCCACAAGTTCAAAACTCAGATCCAGAGCTGCTAGGGAGAAGGGCTGCCTTCCCCCTAGGATGGACCAGGGAGAAACAACTGGGAGGGGAACAGGAGAGATTCTGAACCCCCAAGAACAAGACACATCAGCTTTTATCCACTTCATCATTAATTTCCTCAGCCACACACTCACCCATCTCACTCATTCATATTCTCTCTCCCACCCGCTGACCTGTCATTCACTGGGTCGCTCATTCATGTTGTCACTTTTGTTCACATTTCACTCACTCCTTCCACTATTCGTTCCGCTGCTGCACTCAGTGGTGATTGGCTCGCTCACCCTCTCATTCATTCATTTCTGCGTTCCTCTGTCCACACCCATGAGTTCTGCTCATGTATTGATTCATTGTCCAATGTTGGTGCGCTCATTCACCCTATACTCACACCGTTCCTGGTTGTACGGACCAGTGCTCTAAGCCCTGTGCAAAGGGTCAGGAACACCAAGGTGAACCCCTGGGGTTCTGCCTGCAGAAGGACCCTCAGGGACAGATGGCCTTTCCCGTGAGAAGAGTGATTTCTGCAAACAGAGGGGTAGATCCCCGAGGTCCAGGAGATCAGAGGCAGCCCTGAGTCAGGGTGTCGTGGGCCCAGGGAGAAGTACCAGTGAATATTTGAGCTGGGCCTTAGGTGAGAAATGAGGAGCTTTTCTGGCGCCAAGAGGTGAGGAGGGCTTCCAGGCAGAGGTGTCTGTGGCTGGGACAGTTGGGGAAGGCCTCCCGGAGAAGGGAAGCCTGGTGTGGGCCGTGGGTGTGGTGGGCATGGGAGGGCATGGTAGGCAGGAGGAACGCTAGAGAGAAAGCCTGGGGAGGTGCAATCTGTTCAGGGCACCAGGAGGAGATTAACTGGCTGAAGCCGGCAGGGAGGATTAATCTGGAAACATGTTAATGAGGCTTGGACATTAAGCCACCAGGTGAAATTGATCCTGAAGGCCCTGGGGAGCCGTGGGCTGGCAGGCCAGACTCAGGATGGAGAGAGGGCTGATGGCCTGCTTCCCCTCCTTCCCTGTCCTCCAGGGTGCCCAGCCTGCAGCCCCAGGAGAAGGCCTTGGTCCAGTTCAACATCACCCCATCCAAGAGTGGCCCCAGGCAGCTTCAGGTGGACTTCGTCAGTCACCACTTTCCGGACATCAAGGGCTTTGTGATTGTTGACGTGGCCACAGCCAAGTGACGGACCCTCAGGGTCTGAGGGGGAGCATTCGGCCCCTGTTTTGCTCCTCGCCACCTTTCTGTGGGAGCCGAGAAGCCTGGGTCAGTCCTGCCTCAGTCTCTGCCCTACTCTGTGAGTTTAGGCAAGGCCCTTCCCTCTCTGGGTGGAGGTCCTCATCTGTAAGATGAGGTTTGGACTCATTCATCCTGAACCTTTTGGACAAATAGGTGAAGTAAGAACCTAGGGATCCTCTCCCCCTTCTCATCACGCTCCTGGCTAGAAGACTGACACCTCCGAGAGTCCCAGTCACCCTGGCCCACTCAGCTGCAGCCTCTTTGCCCCTCCAGCTCACCTGTCCCTGTGTCTCTCTCAACCCTTCAAATGCCCTAGCCACATCCAGACCCAGCCGTCCTCCCCAGGCCTGACAGAGAGCCCAGATGTTAGAGCCGGAAGCTAAAGCATCCCTCAACACTCCCACTGCAAAGAGGAAGGGCCTGGCTGGGCCCAGGGCACCTGGAGGCAGAGTCATCCTGCATATGCTACTTGCTCCACCTTATGCCAAAGTCATGTTCCTGAAAAGCATTAGATTTTACACATCGAGAGATTTTTCCCTCAGGGGAGACATAGGCTCTGGATTTAAGGGGCAGAACCCAGTAAGCAGCTGAAAAGATAAAGAAGGGTCCATCCAATGGATTGTATTTCCCTGAACTCTGTAGCCTCAGATCTGATCCGGTTAGGATCAAGGAGCTCACCAACCTTCCCAGCTACGCCTGACGTTTCTTTCTTAGCACCCATCCAGCACCAATTCTACAAAACATCCCAGCAGCCTGCACCATGCACATCGTGTGCTTGGAGTCGAAACAGGACACCAAGCCCTGGAATAAGGACCAGATAGACACCATCAGGCCCTGGAGATCAATGAACTTGCATATGAAATTCTGTTCCAAAATTTTCTAGGTAGTCCAAGAAATTAAAATTAATGATATAATTTAAGTCATATGAACCACAGCAACACAGACTCATCTGCGGTGAGAGGCCTCCTGGATACAATTCAGTGGAGCATAATCGATGTAGGGGGCTTTGCACAAAGCAGGTCGGGCAAAGCGCACAGTGTGTCGGGTGGCCCTTGGGGCCCCGTAAGGCAGGCTCTTCTCTGATGATCCTATGGAACATGAGCTTGGAGAAGCTCTTGGGCTGCCTCTGTTCCAAGATCCTCTTTCCAAACCTGGGTTTTTGATGCCGGTTCCATATGGGAGGATCAGCGGGAGGTGCAGGGCAGGCAGCCACTTCTTTGAGATTGAAGTCAACATGTATCACTCCCAGGAAAAGGGACGCTCTGTCCCACAGAAGGCTCAGCAAGTCGGCCAGGAGGGTGTCCCCCGGGACCTCCAGATGCTCTGTTCCTCCAGTGATTGCCAACAGCGGCGGGAATTCCTCAAGCTCAGCAGCGTAGGGGGAGAGTCCCAGGAAGCTGGTCCTGAGGTGCAGTTTGGGGTGCAGGATGCTGATTCAGGGGGATCCCAGGGATCAACACCCAGGAAAGGGATTAGGGAAAGCAGGAGGGGGCAGAGGGAGGAGTCGGGCGGTGACACTGCCCCACGACAGCCCCAGGCAGCTCTGGAGCCGCTGTGGCCTGTCACAGTTTTCTGGTTGGGCTGAGATGGTGGGCCATCGGTCACTGATTGCCCAGGAGGGGGTGTGACTTTGGGTGAGACCTCTCTCTGCAGCTGGGACTGTCCCTGACTCCGTTACAGCTGAGGGGCAGCTGCTGGCAGCTCTCCTACCAGTGGGGGCTACGGAGTCCTCCAGGAAGGGGATCTGGGCTGTGTCCTCAACCTGCATTCTGTTCAGTCCCAAGGACAGGATGGTGACACATGTTTCCCAGGCTCATGCTCACGAGGGTTTACCCTCTAGCCGCTAGAGGCAGGGGTTAAATCATGACCTTTTAAAAGGCATGAGAAGCAAACAGAAATAAAAGTAAATAAGTACGTAATTTTTAAATAAATAAGCTCATTAAATATGGTGGTGAGTGCCAGAAAGAAAATAAAAGTGACAGCCTTCTCCTCAAGTGATGGGGTTAGGATAGCTCTACTTTAGAAAGAGGAATCATGAGAAAGTCTCTCTGAGAAGGCTAAAATTTTAATAACAATGCCAGAGAAGCCATGTTTAAAATCTAAAGTAGTGTGCACGCTAGGAACTGTTTCAGGTGTTTTACACAGATTAATTTACTTACTTAATATTCATATAACTAACTCAATGAAACAGTTTCTATTATTCTTTTCTCTTTCCAAATAAGGAAACTGGGCACAGAGAGGTTAAATCACTTGCACACAACTGCACAGCACTTAAGTGTAGTATTTGAAGTTAGGCTATCAGAGAATGCACTCATAGCCTCTGTGTTTATTGTATGTGAAGAGACAGCTAAGCAAAAGTCTGAGAAACTGTTACAGGCAGACAAAACAGACATGTAAGTTTGGGAGTTATGTTAGTTTCCTGTTTCTATAACAAAATGACTGAGATAATCAACTTATAAAGGAGAAAGGTTGATTTTTGCCTCACAGTTTTACAAGTTTCAGTCCATGATCAATTGGCCTGTTGTTCTTGGGCCTGTGGTGAGGCAGCACATCATGGAAGGGAACTTGTGTTAGAACAAAGTTGCTTGCCTCATGGCAGCCAGGAAGTGATCGAGGAAAAGGAAGGGCCAGGGTCCCAATATCCCCTTCAGTGGCATAACCTATGTGACCACAAGACTTTCAACGAGGCCCCACCTCTTTAAGCTTCCACTACTTCCCATAATGTCCCCCCACTTGCCCAAACCACAGCATGGCTTTCCCAGGGGCTCTGTAGGAGGTCCCTTTCCCTGGAAGGGCGGGCAGCTCTTGGCCCCTGTCTCCCACAGCCCCTTCCGGTTCTTCAGGCTGACACATCAAGTCTTCTTCAACCTGTCCCCAAAGAGCCTGAGCTGAGCACCTTGACCCAGTCATGTGCTGCCTCCTGGGACTTGGCTCTTAGAAGATCAGGATGGAGGGAAGGTCAGAGGGCACTGGAGTGGTGTGGTGTCACGGTCACAGTGTCCTGGCTGGGGGACTTCTGCTCCACACAGTTGCTGTGTTCCAACGACTATGCGACCAATCACCCAACAACTACAGCTTAAAATAAGGACAACTGTTTTGCTCAGGAATCTGCGGTTTGGGAGGGCGTGGTGGGGACAGCTCCTCTCTGAGACCTCAGGGGCAGCTCGCAGACTCTGGACTCCTCCTCCGTCTCAATGACTCAGGTTGCTGGCGGTTACCGCTGGCTGTTGGCCCATCCCCACTCTGGGGCTGGCAGCTGGAACACCTGCCCATCATCCCTCCCACGGGCCTGGGCGGCCTCCCAACGTGGCAGCTGGTTGCCAAGGTGAGCACTTCAAGAGAGCGGGTGCCAGAGAAGCCATCAGCCTCCCTGGCCTAGCGCTGGGGGCCACCCTGTGTCATTTGTGCCACACTCCATTCCTTAAGGCAGTTAGAGACTTCTTCCCAGTTTCAAAGGAAGGGGAAGCATAAGGTGGGGAAGATTCTAGAGGCGCTTGTGGGACTGGAAATATTGCTGTGGCTATTTTTGGAAATTTACAATCTACCAGACTGCTTCCTGCTGCCTGTTTCTCGACCCCCTGGATATTTGTGGAAAGCCATTTTGCACCCCAGGTCTGATCTGTCTCAGCATGCTCTCCTCCATTTCATGGTTGGTTTTGTTTTGTTTCAGTACTGGGGATTTAAACCAGGAGTGCTTTATCACTGAGCCTCATCCCCAGCACTTTTTTTTTTAATTTTTTTATTTAATACAGGTTCTTACTGAGTTGTATAGGGCCCCACTAGATTGCTGAGGCCGGCCTCAACTTGCAATCCTTTATCTCAGCCTCTCAAGTCCCCGGGGATTACAGCCATGGTGCCTGGCTTCTTCTCATGCCTAATGTCACTCCGTCCACTTTTGCTAAAGTCAACAAGAGGCAGTTTTTCTTGCTTGCAACCAAGAACACTGACACAGACACTGAGGAGGACATGAATTAAGCCAACGTGCTCAAGTGTCCTGCAGCTCATCGCCCTCTTCTTGACATGGGTCAGCAGCCCTGACCTTCAAATGCTCAATGGCAACCCACAAGAGGGACTCAGAACACAGTACTACCTTGACCCCTCTAATAGCTTCTCATTTGAGTCATCTTTTGGGCTTCTTTAGGCCTTAGAGGCTATCCTTCAGAAAGACCCTTGGGTGCCAGGGGGTGGCACATGCCTGTAATCCCAGCAGCTTGGGAGGCTGAGGCAGGAGGATCTTGAGTTTAAAGCCAATCTCAGCAACTTGGCAAGGCCGCAAGCAACTCAGCGAGATCCTGTCTCTAAATAAAATATAAAAAAGGGCTGGGGCTGGGACTCAGGGGTTAAGTATCCTGGGTTTAATTCTTGTACCAAAAAAGAAGGAAGGAGGAAGGGAGGGAGGAAGTGGGGGGGAGAGGGAAGAAATAAAGACCCCTGGGCTCCTCTTCAGAGTGGATTATAAGACTGTTTCTTAAACAGAAGCAAGCAACCAGAGGGGAGGCCGGGGCACTGGTGGCGGTTGTATTAAGGTTCACTAGAGGAACAGAACCAACGAGACACAGACAGAGAGAAGAGATTTATTCTAAGTCACTAGCTCACAGGACCATGGACTGATGGGTCCCAGGATCTGCAGTCAGCAAGCTGGAGCCCCCAGGAAAGCTGATGGTGAAGTTCCAGTCTGAAGGCTGACAGGCCTGAGACCCAGGAGGGGAGGATGGTTTGGTTCAAGTCCGAAGGCAGTGAGTCCCAGTGTGAAGGTCAGTCTCGTGTTCAGAGGAAGGTGGACTTTTTGCCTAGTCAGTGAATTGGATAAGGACCACCCACATGAAGAAGGCAATCTGTTTTACCCAAACTACTGGTTCAAATGTTAATCTCATCCAGAAACATCCAGAATCATGCTTCAGGCAGGAAGTGAAGGATGAGCAGGAACTTCCTACCTGAGAACTGAAGCCACAGCCCAGGCCATGTGTCACTCAGGGCCTTTGAGACCATCTCTGCCCTGTGAGCTGCCAGCTGCTGAGCTGAGCACAGACTTCAAGGGCTAGAAACAGTTTCACAGAAATAATGCAAGAAAGTCACAAAAAAAAACCCATAGCAACCAGTAGTGGGGACAGAGAGAAACTTGGTTTCTAGAGTTGCCACATTATATTATTTAAAAGGCCCGGTTTTCAAAACAGAACAAAGACAAAAACATTACGAGACATACAATAAACCAAGAAAATATGGCCCACGTCTAAGAAAAAAAGAATTCAGTGAGAACTGTCCCTGAGGAAGGCTAGGCATTGAGTTTACCAGACAAAGAATTTAAATCAGCTGTTTTGAAATTGTTCAAAGAAATAAAAGAAGCCATGTGTTAAAAACTAAAAAAGGATGAAAACAATATCTCATGAAATAAATATCTCCAAGGGAAAGACATTATGTAAAAGAATTAAACATAAATTCTGGAGTTGAAACATACTCTTAAACAAAATGAAAATTTGCTAGAAGGCTTCACCAGCAGATTTGAGCTGGCAGAAGGAAGAATCAGATTCTTTGAGCTTTCATTTCCTTACAAGGGCTCCCATGTCATATAAAACATATATTAAACTTTAATGCTTTTCTCCTGATAATATATCTTATGCCAATTTAAATCTCAGGCCCAGCCAGGACCTTTCAGCCTGGCTTTTCCACACATTCCCCCTAGCAATTGCACTC